TTTTCGTTGTGAAATAAAGTGATCCATAAAATAAAACGTTAAAATGCTTTACGAGTGAAGTTGGAACGTGAAAAAATACACTGCTACATGCGACTGTGGGTGTACGATACCAAGTTGATCTCTTCGGACTATGACGCTTATCCTCCAGATGGCGTGAACTGTCCCAAATATGATGTCATTGCTCTTCGAGAATGTGTGAACCGGAACGCGCTCACCCACTGGGTGAACAGTGGAAGCTTTTCCAACTTTGTTTTGTTTATGAAAAAATGAAAATATGTTCAGCTAACGTTCCTAATTTTTCTACTATTCGCTGCATCTCTTTTTACAGGACTTAGTCCGATTATTAGCTATCAGTACTTCAGACCGACAGTGTGATTGGGTGTTCTCTTCTTTCCGAACCAAATTTCATTTACGACAGCTTAGTGGTGCGACTTAAACAAAACGAATACGATTTGATCATGACCATCAAAATTGAGACCTACTAAAACCTTCTCTGCATGGTCTGCGACTAGCTGTGCTGCTTCGTCTTCTTATCCTTCGTTTTTCTAAAGGATGAAACAGACAAGGTGTTTTAGAATTGACAAATCCCTATGGCATACATCATGCATTCGACAGCATCCATAACATCCTAGAGGAGCCTGAATTTGGTGTATGTAACGAATCGAGGAAGCCTACCGATTGATCTACTTCCTGTTTTTGATCTCCTAGGCAAGTTTAGTATTTCTGCCTCCTCCACTGGGAAGAGGAATTGGTGTGGCGGCAACTCGAGTTAGATCGAACCGTCAATAAGTAGGACATTTTTAACCACTGCGCCTCTTTGGTTTTCCGTATATACGACGAGGAAAAAAGGAAAAGAAAGTGTCAAATTAATAATAATTGCACTTTATAAATATTAAGTGAGGAAGCTGACAGTCTGTCTTCAGGACTATGACGTTGATCGACGACGATCAGCTTCGGGTGTAGGATCCACAGTGTTTCATCAACAGTACTGTTTGCTAGCGCTTTTCCTGACGAAAATCGACGGCCACTGGCATGCCTCGTCAATCGAGTGCTGAACTTATGGAATCTTGACAAGAATGTGTATATGTCGCTGTATGAACATCTAACAGAGAACGTTCTGCCAATGCGCGATTTTAACAACAAATTCGCAACGATGGTGAGGTCAGACGACAACGTTGTTAAATGTCCACAGAGATGCACGTGGGAGAATCTTAGAGAATCAGATGACTTAAATTAGCTAACAGTAAGCCTTTAGGAAAACAACTGTAAAAAAATTGCTGCAGAATTTTCTTGTCTTTTTAGTTAAAAAGCTGTTTTTTTAAGTTCGTGAAAAATAGTTCAATTTATTTGCTATTTATTCACCTGACTGCATCTCTTTGCATTCAAGCATTAAGAATCATGAAAATCACACCCGAAAGTTGCATAGCATTGTAGCAGAGTGTGTGTGGACGAGTCAGAATTCTCCAACATATTGTGCAAGTTCAATGCATCTGGTGGGAAAATCGGCTAGAGCTCTTGCTTTTGCTCTCAAAGGAATAGCGTGAGCTTCAGTACTTTCTGAATGGAGAGAGTAAGTTGGCTTTTTCCATTAAAGGGTTTGTTCTTCACTGGCATGTTAACCGAGTCTAGCGGAATACGACGAATGAACTGGGCAATAAGTGTAGTGTTCCAGCCGATAGTAGGCGATATTTTAGTGTTGTTCTTGCAGGTCATGCTTTCTAATGCCTTCGAGCGGTGTAGACTGACTTACTAGTCCAATCTAGCTTAACATATTTTTATCGTATCGTTATTTGTATTGAAATATAATGCTGTATGAGAATTAGGCAACCTATAGAATTTCCTGCATGGATTCTTTAAGTATAATGCACCTCAAAATCCGACATCGTTCACTTCTTCCTCGTTTGAGACTCCATATAAGATGAATAAGGGCTGCCGGACACGGGAACCTTTCAGTGTCATTATTCAATGAAACCTTCTTCCGACGTAACGCAATCAACCAATTAACAGTATTCTCCATTGATTTTTCTTTCTGACGACAATCAGAATATCGTGAATTTTCCTTCAAGGATATTGTACTGATGTAAAATTGATATCTCGAATTATTATTGCTAATCACCATTTCCTTAATGCTTTGAAGGTGTGTAAAAAGCGTTCTGAAACAAACATAAAAAGAAAATATGGTTTTCGAAATCAGCTTCATTGATAAATTGAAAAGTGTGTGGAAGAACTGCAACGGATTAAAAATATAGTATGTTTTGTCTCTTATCTCTTGTTATCGTTATCATTATATCAATGCAAAATTGGTCGACAAAAAAGCAAAGCACTGTTAGATTTCTAACTTGCAGCTTGAGCAGCGCCTTTTCCACACTCTATCATATGATAGAACTATGACTGCAAAAGAATGAAAAACTTTGTACGACTTAACCTCAACGTTTCACAAAAGTGCTCTGAAGTGATGATAGGGTATAAAGAGATAGATACGAAGACGCAATGAGGTTAATGGAAGACAATCGAAGTTATAAATGCTGAAGAGTTTGGACATGTCAACGGTTTAGCGCCTTATCGTGGCTGAAAGGCACTACTCGTTGTTGGGTAGCGATGCACAGTGGGAGTTTCATCCTCCCAGTACAGTCTGCCAAGCTGAGAAGGAATCCGGCAATCCCATCAAGAAGCCAAGCTAAGAATAAACCAATACCATGATCCACCACAATCCTGCTATGTACTTGTGGCATCAGCAGTGTGATCCCGATTTTTGCTCTTTTCTTGAGGGTGCCAGTCGCATCAAATTCCATGTGACCGCCCAACAAGAGAAGAAAACCGCGAAGGCCGACATAGCCAATTAGATCACGGAACCGTTATCATTCGTGGAGAGAAGTTTCCGTAACGAAATGTTAGAGGCGTTGGTTTTTTGTGTGCCCATAGATTTCCTTTCTCGTCACCTCGTGCGAAATCCTATAACAGCGCTTGACCATTCTTCGTCTCCTACTTGCGTGGCAAAATACGGTATTACTAAATGCTATTCACCTACTTGTACAGCTGGTAGAGTCGAAGTAAACGCGTTCTATTACCAAATGGAAAATGTAGTCCACAACTAGAAGTCTCTCTATAAATTTGTTGTTGCATCCTTCAAACCCGGATAGGAACGGCCAACGAAAATGAACAGAAGATAAGGAAATTTTGAATGCCAGAACGAAGTGAAAATGAAAATCGTCTTGTAGGAAACCCATCCGCAGCATGTCTGTTCTATGGGAATGCTTTTTTCTAGAAGGAGGAAAGTCGTCGACGGACGTGGAGAACGGTACGACTGATGCGGATATCAGTGATATTCTCATGGGCAGAAAATAGTGCCCCCTTTGACACCTCAGTGGTACCTGGATTCTGTACTGGATCTGATTATCGTGCGCTCCATACAAAGATTCGACTCAGTCACAAGTTGTAAAAGAACTCTTCTCATCGCCTATGAAAGAGGAAACAAGTATTACGCGACGAGGATATTCTCAATGAAACCCTCTACTCATGTGACTGGTATATAAAGGAAGATCCAACTGGGGACTGCAAGTTGCTTATCGAGGGACTTAAAACCTGTGCCGAACTCGCTTAATTTTCTCAAACAAGAAGTTTAGACCTCATCTTCATTACCACTAATGAGCTGCTCGTAAGAAGAATGAGGGTGAAGCTTGATCTTCCTCCGACACATATAATGCGGTCTATAATAAAGACTAGTTATAGAAGATATTGCAGAAAGATTTACATTGATACAGGCAAAAAAAGTTATTCGAAGCAGTTCAAAAACGATCCAGTCTGAAGAAGTGTCGTTGGGATCTTTGCTACTGTAATGTTTCCCTATATGCCGTGATGAACGAAGACGAGACTATCACTACATTCTGCCATGATATAGAATTAACTCAAGCTGCATTTGAAATAGGAAGCACGAACAGAGCGCACTGCTCCAGGAACCGACAATATCACCACTGATTTCCTCAAAGCTGGTAGCCACAAACTACGTGTATTCTCGTAACCCACGTTAAATTTAACCTTTAGAAAGTGAGAAACCCAAACCAGTAGACGTTCATTACACCCAAGGAGAGTGATCAAAGGGATTCTCGCCACTATAGTCCAGTGTGTTTGTACTCTGCAAGCTCTTCACGAAGATTGTCTTGTCGCTTATATTAAATACTATGGATGAGGAGCAACCAGTAGAGCAAGCAGGATTTCGTCAGGGATTTTGCTGCATGGATACATACAAACCGTCTCACTGCCCACAAAACTCTGCCGGGAAGTACTATCTACTCCTTGCCCTACCCTTCATCGACTACGAGAAAGTGTTTATTATGAGCGCCGAAACGAATGGAATCCTATCAACGGTTGTGGACCAAGGTGTGGACCCGCCATGGATACAAACACTAGCGGACTGTTATCGGAACTGCAACACAAATACACAGCTTTTTTATGTGCACTTATCCATACCAATAGGAAAAGGAGCTCGGCGAGACGGTGTAATATCGTAAAAGATGTTCACCACACTCGAATGGGATGAGAAAAGGATACGTATTGTTGGAAAATTGCTGTCAAATCTTCGTTTTTCCCATAAAGTCGTCATGTTTTCGAAGAGTACCAATTAAGCAAAGGCAATTTTCAGTGAACTCAACGAAGCAGGAAAAAAAGGTTGAATGGTGCGTAGAAAGGACGAAGACTTAGTTCGTGGAAAACCCAAGCTGAGATAATGAACATATCGAACTGAGTGGTTGGTTCTCTGATTACAGAAACGGCCTCGTGCGTGTACCTTGGATGTTTAGTGAACCATGGAATAAAACGTGAAATAGGAATTGAAAAAAGAAGAAAAGCAACATGGGCCACATTCGGGGCAATCAAAGAAGCCATCAACCAACTAACGGACGCAAAACTCCGTGCTCAGTTTTCCTATTCAATACTCTTCCAAGCTTCCTGTTACGCAGCAGAGGCAAGGGCTGACACCCCAACCGTGCCAAGAATATTGCAGCTCACCCAGACAGCGCTTTAACAATGTCTTCTGAACCGGCACTCATAACGTCTAATCGGAATGCACAGCTCAGATCATCGGAACCTAACTTTGCTGGACGCCACACAGCCACTGAAAATGAGCCATCACAGTACCCAAGTAAGTAGGAGAAATCTGTAACCATTCCGTATGAGGCTTCACCATGGATATGTGCCCATGCCTTCTTTATTCCACATGCTCCAACCATGGATTTCCTTCAATAAATGATCTGTTTAATTCTTGAGGTACTATTGAATCTCATATTGAATTTAATTAATTAATTAATGCTTGAGTCAATTAATACTCCATGAAGAATACCCAACTGAACCACTCATATCTTGAACAGACATGATAACACCTCATCGGTACACTCTTGCCAAAATCGAGTTATTTTTCTTTACCGTAAATATGGTGTGCGGTTGATCCGAAGTCTTCCTCGTATTTCAGATTTTGCTTAGTGCTAAAATCCTAGCGAATGAGTTTTTCTTACAAGATCATCGTGTGTTGGCAATGGAAGGAGAATGCTTATTACCGTTTGTACTCTCTGTACTTTGGCAAGGAATTTACTTTTCTTATCACTTGATAAATGAAAGCTGCTGGTTCCACATCCCAACACTTATTCAATTCGGAATTAGAAAAGAATAACCGAAAATGCTTGTTATACAATGTTATATACCCTTTTATTTTCTGCCTACTATAATTTCGCCGCAGGGTACTAAGCGAAATACAACCACAACGTTGCTGAGATATTTGCAAAACTCTGGACCGCAAGTGTCTATGGTGGGGAACGAACGCGCTATTGTCCTTTCCGGGGAGTAACGCGTTCACCACCACACCATGCGGGTCCTTCGTTTCGCCTGTCTCTCCGCTATTCGTTCGTTCCCCACCAATAGACACCTGCGGTCCAGAGTTTTGCAATTATCTCAGTAACGTTGTGGTTATATAAGAATAATTCTCTTAGGGATAAGGGATAATGTTGAGATAACAGAGGAACATCTTAGTGATGCTACTCTCTATCGCCCATCCTCTGAAAAGGAATATAAAAGTCAATACCGAAAACTAAACAATCAATGGGTCAGCGTGGCAAAGGCTGCGGGTTTAAAATCATCGGTTATTTCGCACTTTAAAATCGATAGACCAACATGTCCCGCCCTATACCTACTTATTAAAACACATAAGTTGGTATCACCTGATGATCATGCGTCAACCAATCCGTCATCATTTAAGGTTAGACCAATCATCAGC